AATCTTCCTTTCTTACCTTCTCACAACATTTAGTCGTCTTATTTGAACCGGCACCTAGTGAAGTAGATAGTAAAGTGTTATTCGAGAGCAAAAATAAAAGCCAAGTATGAAATAATAATGGACCATACATCTTAAAACATAAGCAATCAAATTACTGATTAACAAAAGATAAATATATGTGTATGTGTGTATATATATATATAGAGAGAGAGGGATAGAGAGAGAGAGAAGAAAGACTTACAGAAACTCCCAACAAAGTACTTAACACGAATAATGACAAGAAATTTCCAGCAAATTTTAGGGCAATGATTGTATTCATGTCTGATAGGTCAAATTTCGTAATTGCATTGAAAAGTACCACAGATGTGGCATCATTAACCACACCCTCCCCAAATACTAGACTGTATAATAGTGGTGTTTCTTCCTGATTAAGAACCTGTCAATTGGATACCAAGTTAATTGTGATAATGATCTATGACCTTTCTCTACTCCATTAGCAATCACTGATTCATTAAGACATCGTTACCTGCAAAGTGCAAACAGAATCTGTTGCAGAAAAGATGGCTCCAAGTGCTTCCCACAATTAGACCAAAAGACAACAATTTGAATGAATAGGTTAGCAAAACATGATCCAGATTCAAAATAAGAACATTTCCCAGAATCATATAATATAATGAAACATAAAACATGCAAAAGACTCAAACAGATAACAAGAACAAGTGTTGTAATGAACTATTTGATCTAGTGTAAAAATAAAACCATCAGTAAATTATATCACAGTTTGTCTACATTTTGATACCTCGGAGAACCAAAAACACTGACTAAAGCGTCTTTCCCATGCACCACTAAACTTGTATAGTAATATATTCGGAATGAATCTRTTTATCGACAAATCAACTCTAAATATCTGATGTTATACCAAGCATGAGCAGGAATGAGCAATGACTCTAGATGCTTCAATGTAATCGCATGTGATTTCAGTGCAAAATCACATGTGATTTGGCTGTTCTCGTGTTCTCTTTTTTGACCATGTTCTCGTTTAATCCTCCTCTCTGTCTCTCTCTCTCTCTCTCTCTCTCTCTATATATATATATATATATGCGTATGCGTATGCGTATTTGTGGGTGGGTGGGTGTGACAATAAGAAAATTGAAAGGAAAAGACATACATACCAAGATAATCCTTCATGTCAAGGTAACCAATGCCCAGTTTAGGGAACAAACGTGTCGCACCTGAATTCAAATTTAAGTTACAATCTAAGAAAACATATAAGCAAATGTAAATGTGATTGATGTTCAGCAAATTCAGTCACCAGACTAATAATACTATAATCTAAGCAAATATCACTAGTATATGCTCTATTACTCCAAAGCTATTCTCTACATATCACCAGCTCATTTGAACAAGGGCACAAGCAAACAACTAAATAAATATTACCAATACTCTCATCCAAGCTAAAGGCACTCTTAACCATATCGATATACCTGCAACCACAATTTTGCATTTTTGAGTTGACATTCAGACAAAGTAGGGATAACCAACATGGTATCATTATTTTTCAAGTTTGAAGGACAGATCCTTTTGGATGGTATTAGGTATGCATCCAACATGTTATATTTTCTGTCATTAGATGAACAGTCTAAAGCTGAACAAATGAGGCTATCGTAAAAATTCATGGTAATAATTCCAACAATGCCCTTAAAATGCATCGTCTACTAGACAACAATGCCATGAATGACGAGCAAATAAATAAATCTAATTTGCCTAAAGTTTACAACAATAAGGAACTATAAGCATGTTGCCACATGTGTGCATCTACATACATTTATGCTGTCTGAGGACTGATGTGTATAGAGACAACACATGAGGCAATCAACCACATATACAATAAAGCATTGCAATCAAAATCGGATACCCAAATGTAAACATAAACAGATAATTATTTTAGACAGGGATAATTAAGAATCTTAACATACCAAACGAAATGATGGCAAAGGATATCAAAGTACCAATGGCTCCAAATGAGGTAATAGTCGTGAAATTCTGGAAAAATTGTTTCTTTTTAACCTGAAACCTGGTAAATAATTAACCAAGATCAGAAATTTTGAGAAATGTAAACAAGAGACRCATGAATGAAAGATGTTGGAATGTTTTCTGCAGGGGAACTTAATTACCCCATGTCWRWTAAGAGATGCAATGTTTGACCCTATAAGCATATTATTTATAAAAGTAAAGCTTGAGAACCGAATGAAGAATATTTACTTTTATAAGGAAGAGAAATTGGTAATTCATCTACGAATGCTCCCGGAAAAAATAGTTCAATTCTTATGGGACACACAGAAAAGATGTTCCAATTCTTGTGAGACARAGGGAGTATATTAGAAATATGTGCATATACATCACATTAATCGAATAACCATTCAGTAAAAAAGTAGAGCATACAACCAAAAGATAATCTTCACCAAACGGCATCAATATGAAGCATTGTAGAACCAAGACCAATATACATAGGCTATTCACATTGCTTKATTAAAAGAATTGGTTGATTCAACGATGGTGGATCATTGAAATATGGGAATTGCTCAAAGTGACTACTACTTTTACAAAAAAGCAAGCTCTCAACACAGGAAATAAGAAAGTCAAAGATGGTGATCTTTTTATCTTGGCAAGATGAAATAATATTATGAATACAAGACAATCAATAATTTCCCATGTCACATACTCGCGCTGGTAATAAAACAATATTGCAGTCTAACCAGACGCCCACACTCCAAAATAGGCATCATACAATCAATTGACAATATTCAAATCCTTGAAAAAGAATAAGAACAACAGAAGATAGAKAGAATGTACCCAGCATTGAATATAATTGGTGGAAGGAGATATATAAAGAAAAACTCCTGCTTGAATTCCATTATGTGCGAGCTTTTACCACCAGAAGTTAGTAAAATAATACTTCCTGTGCCTAAGCCCTGTCAGCAGAATACAGTTTCATAACACTTGCCTTGTCAAAAGTTATGTAATACTTACATTGAAAAATATGAATTGCAYAACCAAACAAAAGCAAAACCTTACTATGCACACCAACATTTCATATATGAAGCCGATAACTCACAATTGCAAGAGCAGTTATAGATTCATTCATCCATTTACTTTCTTCAAGGAGATGACCAATTACTATGCAAGCACAAAGAAGGGCTGCAAATAAGGCTATGTGGTGTACAAAGTCTGCTTCCGGATCTGAAGTCATTATGCTGCAACTTGCTTCTATGGAGCTCATATCGAACTCACTTTGCAGGTTGGCCAAGAAACTGAATAATGAAACGAGATCCTGAAATAGTGTGCCATGTGTCAAACAAAKTCAATTTTAAGCCAAATATCAAAACAAGATCCTCTTAACTACCTACATTTACAGTTCAACGTTGATGATCCTCCTCCAGTTCTAGAGAAAAGGGATATTGTTTGACTACCATGAATTAGTAAACTCAAAATTTGTAAGTTGTATACACAGTGCAATTAAAAAACAAATTTTGTGTTTAGTAATATACTGGGATAATGCCAGTCACAAACTTTTACTGAACAGGGAGAATAAATGTACACCATCTTTTAGCATACACACTTCCATAGTTCAGGAAAAGAAAAAGGTGACCTGAACGGGTAAGTTTCATGGTCTCAGTAACTTTATTTGATTCAWATCAATTATCAAATCCTTGTATTTCTGTTTTTAGCAAGCTTCTGAAGATCTTGAGCTTCTTGATCACATTTGTAAGGTAACACTTTGTATTTGGTTTGATTCTTTAGTTGATACAACTCATCTCCTCTTTTGTGGAAGTACACTACCACATCGATAGTGGAACCACATTAAATCTCRTTTTGTGGTTGGATTTACATTGCTATTGTTAGTTTGGTTGTTTTGATCATTGCCATTGTGTTTGTATTTGTTGTTCTCGTTGTTAGTATACGTTTGCCAATCCTCTGTATATTCCGTGTTATTGTTTTTCGATTGTGATATTGGTACTCGAGAAYGTTCTGGTACCAGTTCCCAACATTCTTTTTACTTGTAAGGGMTCTTTAGATAGAGATTCAAACCAAACCAAACCAAACAAACCCAGTATATCCCACCTGGATATGAGGTCGGGGGTGGAATTCCTGATCTCTACCTCAAAAAGTAGAACAATTGTTTCCATGAAGACCCTGGTAGAGAGAGATTTAATCGGTTTCAATTTCCACATATCCTAACATAATTTAAAAGATCAAATTTATACTCCAGTGGGCTCCTACTCATACCATATTGATCCTCATATTGTTTCATTCTAACTTGTGCCCACGAATTCWATCTATTCAGAGCTATTACGAGACTGGTATTAGATATAACTTGTAATTAATTCTGCATTTTTGTAGTTTTAAGAAACCAACCTACTGTTCTTAAATGTCCTCAAGTTAGTTATCCATTTAATCATCAAACTTAACAGAATTTTAATTGTTTTCAGCATCATTGCCATATTAAATCACATATATAGAGAGATGGAAAACAGGAAAAGAAAACAAAATCAAGCAAGACGATACAAATAGCAATTACCTCAATCAAAAAGGTCGTATGTTGATCGTGACGAATGATTGAACTGCATCTACGCCTGATCAAAATTCCTTTTGGAGCAGAATCAAAAGGTTGTGGTTCAAGATAAACCTAACATTTTTGGGAAATCTAGGGTTCCTTGATCAGCAAGAAGAGTTCAACAGGTATCAAACGAAAATATTTCATTTGCTTCGATCAAACGAAATAAGGAAGCGGAGAAATCAAGTTTTGAAAACCCGCGAAAGGAACAATTATAATAGAAATGATTTATATTCTGTTTTGGTGTTACACGGATCATGAAGCATCTCCTGGAACCGGTTGTTTCCTGACCGTTGGATGTACAACTACCAAGAATTAGATTTGCACACGGACTGAACCAGATTGATTGAAAAAATCCGGTTTAATGGATATGATTTGAGTTTTTGGTTTAGTCGGTTAAAATAAAMCTAAAAACCCGGATCGATATGGGTTTTTATCTGGTCATAAAAGTCGTTATAACAAGTGCCTTACATTATGCTGATGTCCGGTGACGATATTTTTCATATCAGGAATATATCTATAATTTTTTTAAAATGATGGTACCATTTGATTATAAGAAAAAATATAGAGAAATTTTTTTAAACGATGACACCGTTTGACTATAAGAAACAAATATACGAATCTTTTTCAAACGGTGACACCGTTTGACTAAGAAAATGACATTAACGGACTTTGAACTTGGATATGGGGTGTAATAAAAGCTTTGCAAACCAACTCTACCAAATAAAATTTATTTTCATTGTAGTTTCAAAATACATACGGTAACACACAACAAATTAAAACGGTTGCACTTTTCACGAACCTAAAATTTTTTACCCTTCGACGAATCAATAATACGGTCCTATAGTAGGTCCGTCCATGGCGGCATATTTAAATATACAGATATAGATTTGTGTTAAGTTAATTTTTTAAGAAGATAAAACCTTTACAAAAGGGAAGTCAACTAAAAAGATATATTTAGTCAACTGACATTGAACGTCTTATTCTGGTTGTTATTGTAATAGATATAGCCTTMAAACATTTGGGCTAATCTTTTTGTTAGCAAAAGATTCATAATGAGATGCTTTTGTTCTATTTTTGGCATTTTTCTATAACATGTGTTTCTCTTACCTCTTTCACTTGTTCATTCAATGTGACCCTAAAGAGCTTTTTGGTTCGTGGAATTCNCCATCACTAACCACCATGCCATTACTATTGTCATCACATCTACCTATCAGGGTCGGCCCTGGCCATAGGCTTAGGGGGCGATGGCCCAGGGCAGCATGAAGCCCAAGGGCATCATTTTTCTAAAAGCCCAATGTATATATATAGGTTCAGTTTTTTCCTTTGGGCCTGTTACCAGTCCACGTCCCTCTCGACTCTCGCCTCACTCTGTCCGTCTGTCGCTCACTCTCCTCGATCGAAATCGAAATTGGCTCTCGCTCTCTGCCTCCCTCGACTATCGTCTATCGACTACCGTCGGGAGTCGGTCTGCGGCTGTCGGCTCTCTCTCTTCTGCGGCTGCCTCTCTTGTCGCTCTCGCTCTCTGCCACTTGCCCGTCGGTCGTCGCCCGTCTGTGGTCTGCCTCTCTCTTTGTGAGTTGTGACTACTTACTGCCTCTCTCTCACTCATTGACTATTTCACTTGTTAGTTGTTACAAACCACAAAATTAGAGGAGGCCAATTTGAGTTATTATGTGCTCGGAGTTTCCGGAAATTAACCTAGTTCATCAGAAGGCTTTAGAGGCAATCAAGTAGGTAAATGTTGAAATTAAGTGATTCAAGAATCAAGAGTATATTTCAACTCATTTTTTAATTATGTTAGTATATTTCAGCTTATGGATAAGGTTAAACTAGCTTTGCCTTTGTTTAAGAGTTAGAATGCGTTGAGATGATTAAGCTTCTGTTTAATTACTTGTTAGGTAATGTGTTAGGCAAATGACTAATGTGGTTGTGAAGATTCATAATTTCAATTCTGATGATCAAATTTTCCATCAAAACTTTTGATTTTTGAGTAGATGGTATAGACTGGGGAAATTCAAAATTGGAGCTCCAAATATGGGAATTTGGGACTGACATTTGGTGCCCAGACCTGCTGCCTGTTGAGGCCTTGAGTGGTGGCAGGCCCCTTAACTTCACCTTGAACAGAAGTTATGGTTGTTTGAAGTTGACGTGTTATCCTGCACACTCTCTTCATCACACTGATCCATATATGAATGTGCCAATTGTGTTAGTTCATCACCGTAGTTACATTGCGTCTAAAAGAATACTCTCCTCATGTGAGTGAAAGAGATACAACACTGATGTTCTGCTGCAACACATAACATCTGTGATCAATAACACCACAACTAAAGACAATTTCATGCATGAGGTTCATTTCTTAAAGTCTCTTTCTCATATTCTTGTTCTTAACTATTTATCTTTCAAGCCTTATCTAAAAACCTATAAATAGTTAAAACTATGTTGTTATCAATAATTGGCATCTTGATAACCATATATCTGCATAGATTTCATTTGTGAATAATGAATACCGATTATTCATGTTGTTTTAAAGTTAAAAATATCCTCATATATACTTGTGATTKAATTTTTTTTCATTATAAGGGGCATTTTTTTCATTATAAGGGGCATTTTTTTCACTTTCCGTCGTGGGCATCCAAAATCTCAGGGTCGGCCTTGCTACCTATCCCCCGATCACTCACTGCATATCTCTGTCACGACCATGCTACTACGTTACTGTCACKCCCCTAACCTAACTCCCACCACCACACCATTATTGTCGCTTTCTTCAACTATTTTCTTCGAGCTATTTAGATTCTCAAACATATATTGTTTTATCAGCTTTAATATTTTTGAACTCGAACCATGCATAATGTCTTATTTACAATCTTGATCAATTCAAGAATAATTAAATTATGATGGTATACATTTTAAATTTAATTTGGTTGGACATGAATAACCTAAGGTGTCGTCGGCTTTGAGAAACCTCAATTGTTCGACTTTGTTGGTCAACGCCAAATTTGAAGAAAACAACATGATTACGTAACTAAGATGTTTAAATTTTAGTCGTACCATATGAAAACAAATACAAAGTTATATAAATTAATTAAATCAATAATTAAATATTATGATATTAAATATATGTAGGGATGGATTTGACTAACGTCCCGAACCCAAAACATCAAGTTTGCTCATAACTTCAAAATTTAACTTAAACTATAATGAAAGTTATTGGTAGTCCGACAACTTGATTCTTATAAGGCGTTCACATATCTTTTTTTTTTAATATATTTATGAGGAACGAGATAGTCGGTGATAGGTGGGGTGGGGCTTCAATAKATCGATTTAGGAGGGTTTCTTGGAGAGGATACGGCTTTTTTGGAATATTTTTGTACGTTATATGTGCTTTCAYGTGGTAAAGAGGGAAAAAAGATTGGTTGAATGGTAAGAACAYATATATCTTGACTGGTCGAATAAGCCACTGGTTGATTCTTTAAGCCATAACTCATAACCGAATACCCTTGTATGGTTTGCCAAACAAGTCATACAACTTATTAAGCTCAATAAGTCACAATCGAGCAACGTAATGCTTAATAAGTTGTTTTTATGGTTTCAATTCAATATTTTATATTTAGTATAGATATACATATACTACTCTTAATAAATACAAAATAAAACAGACATGCTAATTAACGGGCAATGATAAGTAATAAGCAAGACAACGAATCAATATACAAAACTTACAATAAACAAAACAAGAAAAGAAATATTGAATTATCTTTTAACACGTTAAAAAATAAAACAAATTCTTTACGTCAACTTATATATCAAATCAGTCAAATTGTTTATAATCAAAAGAGTAAGTTAAAACAATCACTAAACTTATAATGTAACCAAGAACAATTTCTTCAAAACGTCATGTAATATCATATCATTAAAGTATACATGGTACAGTAAATGAGCCATAGAGATAAAAGAAATGGTTAAAGCAGATAAATTTTAATATTTTATGATGTATTAGRYGTCGGTCGGATTTTTTTGAATTTCATAAAGGCTTWAAACAGTTGATACGTAACATACGACTAACCTTTAATCAAATACAAAAACAATAAACTTTACAAATCCAATCCAAATCATTCAATGAGTTTTATTTTAAGTTATGATTTATATATTTTGTTCTTGTAGTGTGCATTTTATATATAAGTAAAGTTTCGTATTTTTTTTTTGAGAAAATTGCACCAGAAAGGAACCAACTTTCAAAATATTTTGAGGAACCAACTTTCAAAATCGTCATTTTGGGGAACCAACTTTCATCTGATTTTTATTTTGGGGAACCAACTTTCAAAATCGTCATTTTGGGGAACCAACTTGCACCCGATTCCTATTTTGGGGAACCAACTTATAAAATAATTATAGAAAAATGGGAAAATTACATCAAAATGGAACCAACTTTCACCTGATTCTTATTTTGGGAAACCAACTTTTAAAATCGTCATTTAGGGGTCTCTATCAAACTTTTTGTTTATTTAAGGGTCTGATTGATCTGTTGAACATGTAACAGGTAATTTAAGGGTTTCTATCAAACTTTTGGTTGGATTTGCCAAATTTGATTTAAACTTTAATATTGACATAGATTGGTTAGATATAAAAATCTTGAATGTGATATTTAATATTTATTTTTTATTSCATCAATTAATTTTTTTTCTATTAAATTGATTTTTTTTATTGCATTAGTAAAAAACAAATTTTATCGTGGTAATTTGGATTTTTTTCGAAAAAAATCTTCAATTTGATGTATGAATTAAAAAAAAAACGAGATTTGAAATGAAAAATAGATTTTATTGCATTAACTTTTGAAAAAAAATAAAATTTTAGTTATTTTTTTATAATTATTTTGCAAGTTGGTTCCCCAAAATATGAATCAGGTGCAAGTTGGTTCCTCAAAATGACGATTTTGAAAGTTGGTTCCCCAAAATAAAAATCAGGTGAAAGTTGGTTCTTCAAAATAAGAATCAGGTAAAAATTGGTTCCCCAAAATAACGATTTTGAAAGTTGGTTCCTCAAAATAAGAATCAGATGAAAATTGGTTTCATTTTGGTATAATTTTTTTTTTCCACATATAAAATAGTTATGAAGTTTTTATATATGAAATAATATTATATCATAATATATAAAAGTTAGTTTGTAAGTTTGTAATATTTAATGAGGTCGTGGGCAACTTCTAACACGTTATTTTGGGGGTTTTTTTACGTTTTTTTTTTTTTTTTGAATTTTTACCGATTAATTCGTTAGCAATAAAGTAGGATCCAGATAAAAATTATTTCCACCACGTAAATCCGTTGAAAGTGGGCCATCTTAAAGAGATGGTCCTTAATACGGGTCGTTTCAAAATCGGAGCCTTTTGCAGGCCGATTTGAGATCCATCAGTTAAACCACATACACTAAACCCAACACTATCACCTCTAGTAAACCTAAATCCCCTATTTTATCTCCTAAATCTAGGCCCTAATCTTATCTGCTATGTGAATTCAATCCTAATTTTGGATAATCTTTTGGCTGGACATGTCGATGTGTTATCTGCATTGATGATTTACAGGATTTGAAGATCTGGTGGAGTAGTTTTTAGTTTCGATGGACTGTGATTCAAATGTTGCTAGAGCTTGGTTTGTTCGATTATACTCCATCMTTATCGGCTGATTGTGCTTAAAAATGTATTTCTGAAGTGGTTATGGAGTGATACATGAACGGCGGACCTGTGGCGGTGATGACGGTGTATGTGTATAAACGTGTTTTTGTGTAGAAATTTAGTTAAASGATGTCGTTTAAGAGTATGCTTCAGGATATGAAGGGCGAATTTGGGAGCATTTCTAGAAAAGGATTTGGATCGAGGTCGAGGTCGAGGTCACAGCAAATGGTCGGAGATAGATCTGCGGCGGCCATTGTTGATGCTTTGAAGCAGAGTTGTTGGGCGAACATGCCGCCGGAGCTATTACGGGATGTGTTGATGAGGATTGAGGCATCGGAGAGTACTTGGCCTGATCGGAAGAATGTGGTTTCTTGTGGTGGTGTTTGCAGGAATTGGAGAGAAATTATGAAAGAAATCGTGAAGAATCCAGAATKTTCTGGCAAATTAACTTTCCCCATTTCGCTGAAGCAGGTTTGTTCAGAATTATATCTTTAATTAAATCACAATGCWTAATTAGCTAACACATGTCATGTTTAAGGGTTTTCAATTGCAGAAATAAAACTTGCAACACTCAAATGCTTAAACAAAAAAGTTAAAATGAGGATGCTTAATATTCGCAACAAAAATATTAAAACTAATAAACAATTRAATAAGTCGGTATCATAGAACTACTGGTACGAGACCTTCAGTACCGGCTTAACAATTAAGGTTTCATAATTGGTACGGCGATACCAACCGACTTTAATTTGTACCGATTAAAGTGGTACCAATTTAATTGGTATGGTTGGCACACATGTTGGTTGGTTTTGTTTGGTACAAAATTGTCATCCCTACAATTAACCCTAATCAGCAGATAATGATGGAGTATACTCGAACAAACAAGCTATAACAACATTTTGGAACGTAATCCATCCAACACTAACAAACTYCACCAGATCTCCATATCCTGTAAATCATCAATGCAGATAACACATCGACACCTCCAAAAAAGCAATTTCCAAATTTTTTTTAATGGAACACGGTATCGCATTCAATTCACATAGCATCAAGGATAAAGAGATAAGTTTAGGGCCTAGATTTAGGAGATAAAACAGGAGATTTAGGTTTACAGGTGAGTTCACATTCATGTATTACTCCAAAACCACTTCAGAAGTACATTTTTAACTAAATCACAATGCACAATTAGCCCTAATCAACAGATAACTATCAAATTTGGATTGATGTCATATGTAAACCCTAGCTGCATTGATACAGTGTTTTTACATTGAACTTGTTCCTTACAAWGAATTTTGAGGGCAACCATAATCATATGTGATTAATCTGCATATTCTATCATATTCTTTCCAGCCTGGTTCAAGGGGCTCTTTAATACAATGCTTTATAAAGCGGAATCGGAGCGCGCAAACGTATCATCTCTACCAAAGTCTGGATCAAGGTGACCTTTTTTGATAATGCTAATTATTTATATATATATATATATATATATATATATGTATGTATAGTTCATGTCATTGCTATTCTCTATATGTAATTTGGCACCACATGAACTCGCCTTCTCTATATGCCAATGGCCAATTTAATAGTGTGTTATAACCTTAACCAATTTGACATATATGATCATCTCCATTATCYGATTATGATTCCCATAAAAAGTTGATCGGAAATCTAACTTCTCAGAGAATGCATATAAGCATTCGGGCATGACAAATAAGCAATCTGTTCTAGTGTCTTTTAGATTAGAATTCAGAACTTGATAACTAAAGTGACAGCACAGCTTAAGAGATATTGYAGGCACTGCTCTAAAAGGCTCACCGCCATGGCGTGCCGCGGCTCAGGGCTTGTGTCACACCATGGCCTAATGCGCGGTCTTTGTAACACGATGTTTGACTTCTCTTTACGTTTTTAATGTCTTATTTGCTAGTTTTTAATATATAACGTAATTTAWATTGTTATTATCATTACTCATTGAGTAAGAGTACAAAACATTATGTTTTTGTACACAATATTATATATGATATAGAGATTTGCTGCCATAAGTCATGCCTTAAAGAACGCCGTGGCCTCATGGCCAGGCCACGTTATTTAGAACCTTGACTGTAGGGTTATGTTTCCTCTCTTTTAGCATAAGGTTATGCTTCTTCATGGGCCATAGAGTTACAGTACAGAAGCTAGTGCGTAGGTAACATTACTACTCAAGCCGTGACCTTCTGGTCCAAAATGAAAGTCTGATTCTCTAAAAATGTTTAGCTCCTATCCAAATTCCCTTAAATATCTAACGTGATCAACAAAGCCGAATTTAAACTGCAAGTTTCAACATGAATGATCTCTGTTTTTTTTCATAGATGGAAGGAGCACATTTTTTAATTCAGAGGGGGCAGGTTTGGAAAAAACTTGGCTTTTTGCTCTAGGAGCTTACCGTATAAGTCACTTTCTATATCATTAAGCCACTACCAAACAATCATGAATCATGTAYAGCTGACAGAATAAGTTGYGAGTCCCATTAAGCTCATTAAGCTGTTAACAAACAGACTATGTGCATAGAACTAACATTCAGAACCGTTTAAAATCCGGGTGTTATGCTGATTATCCAAACGACTGATGGTATGTTCATTTTGTTGGTTAGAAACCCTATTAAGAACCCCATCTTCTTGWATTTTGTAATTTACATTGCATTGTGATTCCTCAAGGTGTTGACGAGGGGAAGTTCCTTCTCACTGCAAAAAGGTGTAGACGCGCTACATGCACGGATTATATAATTTCTCTAAATGCGGAAGACGTGTCAAAAGGGAGCAATACTTACATAGGAAAGTTAAGGTAAGCTCACCGTGAATACATGAATCAATTTTTTTTAAACCAATATTCTTACTGAATTTTTACGAACAGATCAAACTTCCTTGGGACAAAATTCACAGTCTATGATGCACAACCTCCAAATGCTGGAGCTTTGGCAACAAAATGCCATTCCTTCAGACCAGGGAGTATGAAACGAGTGTCTCCCAGAGTTCCTGCCGGAAACTACCCAGTTTCCCACATTTCGTATGAGCTGAACGTCTTGGGATCCAGGTATAATATAAGTCCTGAAGCATTTACTATTTAAGGATTGATAATGTTAGAATCAATAATCACACACAAAACACAATAGTGGTTGCAGGAAATGGAAAATCTAATACACATTATATATGTATATATATATATTGCTAGGATTCTTMTTATATATTTGATGGATTATGAATTTACGGTGAGAATCCGATGGGCATTAAAAACACATCAAATACGGATCTATGTAGCATCCATGGACATCTAATCCTCAAATGCAAGCAGCAAGACTAGTTACTTGGAGCATCYCCAAACAGGTTCTCCAAAATGGAGATTTTGGTTGGGCTTGTTTTTTGCTCCACGAGATTCTCCAAAATGGAGAAAGTAGGAGAGAGTGTGTAAAAATCTCCAAATTTGAAGAACTCTCCAAAAAATGATTACCTATGAAAGAGAAATTATTTTTTATTTTTTCTACTGATGAGAATCCTTGAAATTAAATTTGTAAGAGAGAAATAGTATTTTGTAGAAGCTATTGAATATTTTAATAATATAATAATTCATACTATAATCTCCAAAATCGAGAAACTCTTGGAGATGAATATAAATTTTCTTTGGAGATTTTGACTTCTAATTCTTCATTTTGGAGAACCTGTTGGAGATGCTCTTATTTCAGCAAATGGAGCACTAAGATGCAGAATAGATTAGGTGGGGTAATTACATTCAAGAAGGCTGACAAAGTATATAAGAAAAAATTTAGACAATGACTAATGTTCCTAATTGTCATTGGTAACTAAGGTTTCGGGTTTTGATAGTATGCTTTATGATCCAAATTAATGGTTGAAACGAAAATATTATACTCCCTCCCTACCAAAATGAGTGCCCAAATAAGAAAGACAAATAGGGTTAGAAMTTTGTAATCATTATTACTTTTATCATTAACTAAATGACAGTTTTTCCTTTAGGGATAGAATTGGAAAGTAGACWCCTACTTTTAAAAATAGACACTATTTTGGGACGGAGAGAGTASTTGAGTATAGGCGTATAGCTGGAAATTTAATTCACCGAAGTGAAGCAAGATAAACTATGCATCACCTTCTGGTTGCTACATGACTGTTTGRTWAGTTTTCCATTAARTCATGTATGGTAAAAGTTGTATCTGTTGATTAATTTGTTTGTATGGATTGAAAAGATTTTTGTTTGAGAAAGGTTCTTCATAGATGGAATGAACATGTTTTTTAATTGGGATGGGCAAGTAGGAAATACTTGACTTTCTGCATAAAGCTCCCTCCTAGAAGCTTATTGAATAAGCCACTTTCGATATCATTAAKCCACTACCAAACAGTCATGTATAGTTGACCGAATAAGCTGCGAGTCCTATTACTTTCCKTGGTGAACTCCAATAGCATCTTGTCTTTCTTTAACTTCGGTTGCTAAAATTATCAAATTTTGTAAGACACAGGGGTCCAAGAAGGATGCATTGTGTCATGAATGCAATCCCTACAAGTGCCGTTGAGCCAGGAGGAGTTGCTCCTACTCAAACCGAGTTCCTGCTTAGCAACGTGGATTCCTTTTCGTCTCTCCCCTTTTTCAGATCAAAATCCGCACGAGTCGATAATTCCCAATTGGGATCATCATTATTTGCTCAGAAGGACGCGATGTTGACGTTGAAGAACAAGGCACCTAGGTGGCATGAGCAACTCCAATGCTGGTGTCTCAACTTCAATGGGCGGGTGACCGTTGCTTCAGTGAAAAACTTTCAGCTGGTTGCTTCYGTGGAGAATGGAGGTGGAGGTCAGGAACACGAAAACGTGATTCTTCAGTTTGGAAAAGTTGGAAAAGATGCGTTCACGATGGACTATCAATACCCGATATCGGCCTTTCAGGCGTTTGCGATCTGTCTTAGCAGCTTTGACACCAAAATTGCCTGTGAATGAATGACCAACAAACAGGTATGTTGATCTCACTTATGTACTAAAAATAGCAAAAGCCAACCACCAAAACTATGATACTTTGCTTCATTTAGAAAAATAACATTTACTTGTAATCATCAGATGGATTCTTTTCTTGATTGAATTAAATATTCTCCATTAGAAATTAAAGATAAATAAAATGATTCATGTAACATAAAACTTATAAAAAGTAAAAAAAATTAAATCATACGATTTTTAAGTAGATAAATAAATTWAAAGTTTTTGATTAAATTTATTATTGTATAAATCAAACGAGGAATATAAATCCCCTTGTGACCACGGAGGTTCAAATGCGATGACTTTGGGCTATCTGCAAAGCATGTGGTTGCTCTGKGATTARTCGGTTCGCATARCGAGTTGRATATCCAGGTTAATAATAATAAAAAAAAGAGTTAATAAAGAAAATTGAAAGGATGATTTATTAAATGTGAAGTTCTAATAACTTTGTTATATATACATAATAAACCTTTGTAGAGGTCTCTCATTGATCATTCCATATAACTTTGTTATATATACATACATAGAGGAAAATTCAATTGCAAACCTTTTTTCCATTATGAACCGGGGGATAAAGGAGAGCATGACATATGTCTTCGGTTGTCGACATTTATCATGAATAATGAAYATGAAACATTCATGATGAATAACCCACGAGTGTATAGGACATTGCTTCGTTCTTTGTCTCTCGGTTCACAATGAAACGTTAAGTTTTCAAACCATTCTTTATATGTTAATGATATAAAGATATATATATATATATATATACATACATATACATATATTATATTTAGTTTGAGATGACAAAAGTAATGGAAAGTTGGTGTTTTTAATGGTTGTGAAACTTGAATGCAGGTTTAGGCAAAGCTGCAAATGATGGTTTTTGGAGTTATGTGCAGTATAATATTTGCCTAAAGACAGAGCAGGAAGGGTTAGTTTATTTTTATTTTTTTGGTAAAATTATTTCATCTGTAAATATGCTTTCATTTGTTACATGAGCCASATATTTGATCAGCAGCTCTTTCTATTTATGGGATATTTTAACAGCGAGATTGTCRGTCAAATCAGTATGTTGTGACTCATGTATCGAAAAGGTCAAAGTCTAAATTTGCTACTGATAAACCATGTGATATCATAAAATGACCCGATAATTAATCAGCAAGATTGTTACTTGTCGATTGTTATTCAAGTTCATGAGATGCTCAACTAGTCCATTGGATTTTGGACTTTAATTGTATGTTTATTAATTGACAGGTACTAAATGCACAATTATTTTAAACCAGATAAAAAATATGGGTGTGTGACTAGTTGATCCTATTGATACCATTTTTGTGTTTCTGAAATACGAAAAGAATGAGTCTTCTGTCATCTTCGGTTCTGCTTCATCGGATAATTATTCCAAGTACCCGAAACAAAATAAAACATAAAACAAATATATATTCCAAACCTGAATTACGAAGAGGAGGATGAAATAATCAAAAGTTTAAAAAACAATCGAGTTAGAATTCATTAAAAACTTTGTTCTAGGTTCAGAAATTGTAAAGACAATGATGAACATGATCATCAGATCACTTACTGAAGTTGATATAACAAACAATTTGACACAGAAAAATAATGAACGAAGAGGAAGATAAAATAATCAAAAGTTCTAAAACAACCGAGTTAAAATTCATCAAATACTTTGTTCTAGATTCAAAAATCCTTAAGGAAATGATGAACACGATCATCACATCACGTTATTCAAATTGATTACAAACGAATTAACACAGAAAAACATACCAAATCTGAATTAGGAAACGGAAAATAAAATAATCAATRGTTTAAAACAACCGAGTTAAAATTCATCAAATACTTTGTTCTATGTTCAAAAATCTTTATTAAGGAAATGATGAACACGGTCATCAGATCATGGTATCAATAAAAAAATAAAAAAGTAAATCACGAAATCTCCTTACTAGAAACCACAGATAGTGTGTAATGATTCAAAAACAAAAGCAACGCCTCAGATTAGCATGTTGCCACATTCTTCCTCGCAAGCAAGGACTCCATGATAACTTYCATGGATGCGCAATTTTTGTCCTTGAAGCTCATGGCAATATTCGTCCTCATAGGCAGCAAAAGAGAATCAAACAGACGAAATAGATCCAAAAMTCAGAACTATAAATGCTTAAATTAGAAGAAAACAAACGTAAATCAGAAGCTTCGTGCACCTAATGGCGGAGATGATCACTCTGTAGATCGARTTAGGGTTTGCTGCAGAAAGAAGGACGAGATGTATAGATGGGAGACCAGGCCGCATGTTTAAGCCCATTTAGGGAGCAATTCGAGTCCATGTTATTTTTGGCCCATTTAAATATATAATAATATAGTAAACATTTGACTCATAAAAATCTTGAAGATTTTCTTTTCAAATTTCTGAGTAACCAATTATATTAACATTCAATTTACATATCAAGTGATTTATAATCCAAAAAAAAATAAAACTAAACAAAAATCAGAATCGTTGATTCAAGTTTTTTTTTTATTACAATGTCAAAATGAATCATGTAGGCAAAGAACATACATATTATATAAATATACATATATATATATATATATATATACATATATATATATATATATATATATATATAACGAGAACACCTCTATTATTTTACATGAGAGATCTTGTAGTTTGTGAGCGAATTGGCCTAAGACCTAGGTTGCAACAAAAGTCATACGAGTCTCTGATTTAGTATCACATGTGATGGATAATGGATTATAGTATGAGACACATAACACTCTTATTACATGTGATAGTATATATATAAGTGAAGTTACTGTATGCGAGCGACTTGGCCCATAACCTAGTTACTGTATGCGAGCGACTTGGCCCATAACCTAGCCACCTAGGTAGCGCCAGAGCTCACATACATCTCTAATTTAGTATCAAATATGATATACTTTAGTATCATACATGATTGACTATGGTAAATGATGTTCTCATGTTTTTATAAAATGAAAGTGTTCTCATTTRAACTCTCCCCCACATGCATATACACACAAGATATGTAAGGAAAAATACATCGTTTATCTAGTTGCATGTGTTTCTGATTGACAAGGAATGCTCATGGGAAGGGCACATGGGTGTGGGACATGTTGTGATGTATGAGGTACATAGTTCGTACGTACAGTCCTGTTACCGATATTTTGTAGGCTTTGGACAAGATGTAAAAAAGGGGCCCTCGATAAATACGATTTTTTTAATGTATATCATTTTTATCATTAGAAATAAAATTGAATTCAATAAAATACTAATAAAGCCGTCTTATTAGARTATTCCTAGACGTAAAAACCAAACAATAATTATTTTTAAATTAATATTGTTTACCATATCATTTTTACATAACATCGTCAATCCGTTCCACCATAAAAAATATATATATAATGTACCTTTAATATATAGATTTACATCATTTGAGGTTGGATTGACATCATTTGAAGCTGCAATGTTGACTGTTCGGATTAATACTTGTAACCCAATATAAATAAGTTGCAATCAATTGTGACAAGTCGATATCGATCCATAACGGAGAGCTCCGTCTGTAGCGTTTGCCCTAAGAACGTTGTCTTTGTCAAATAAGGAATGATACTCTGTAATACCTGCTAAATGTGGATGGTTCTGSTATTGACTTAAATAATGCAGTAGGTATCTTTTTTTGAAAGTCGGCCTAGCAAGAAAGAAGGCAGGAGAAATGGCGACCATTCTAAAGAACCAAAAAGACTGATCACCCTTATATGTGTGGTCTGTTTTACTAACAACATTCCCAAGTGAGCTTTCTTGAAGCTTTGTCAAAGAAGCCCTTCTTATTAACTCAAATAATCCTCCATAACAACCTATTTGATCGTACTTTTGTGCCTCTTATTAGACAATTACCTTCTCATGGACGGTGGCTGACTCAAGTGCCACCCGAATCGCGTGAAATGGTCGCTTATTACATGACTCACTGACTCTGCCTGGAGTGGTGGTGCCTATTATTCTGGAATTTCAATCAAAAGTGTTATGACCACTGAGCATGGCAACAAGGCAAACTCAGAAAATTGTCTCCTGTCCCAGGTCAATGAAAGGAGGTAAAGCCTCGAATTGGTCAAAGGAACCTCCGTAAAAMCTCATCAGACARGTAGCGGGAGCTGATAGAAAGGGGYGGTCGKTAAMGGAGAAGTCGTCYTGATGAAATAACTCAGGCTGGTCAAGCAAACTGATTCATTTAATTCTTTGCCTAGAATGCAACGAAAAAACCTGGAAATAACGAATAATGAAACAATTCGTAAGAATTRAACGAACTAAGTTCACCTATTTCCATCTCAACTCAAGTTAATGCTTTTCATTACCATTTTAAACTTTTAGGGTTAAAACAAACTTTTTCGGAACCATCAATCTTGGAATAAAAAAACCATGTTGGTTAAAACTTAAGATCTTATTCTTGTTTTAGAAATAGAAAATGCTTCTTAAGACTCATACATTCAATATTAGGTAAAAAGAAGTCAATAATGAATGAAAAACCACTGATAGTTTTGAAACCTTAAATATAGATATAAGTTGGATCGTCTCATATAGTTTAAATAATTTTATTTCAAATGCAGAAGTTTTATTAATTAATAACAAAAAATATACTATATTCTAATGCAAAAATATGATTCATACGAATGAAATAATAAAAAGAATCGGTGCGAGATGAACGYTGGAGAATATATTAAGGTTTTAAGTTTTCGTACTAGATAAAAAACTTATAGAAGTACTAAGCCTATAAAATGAACGACTAATTAACATTTTTCATATTTTATTTTCYARTTTAATTAATTAATACATGTTTGGGTCTTAATATAATATAAAATTCTTTTTAGGTCATATTAGATGCTAAAAAAACTTGCATCTCTTTTTAATCACTAATTGTTTTAGATACTACTATATACTACAAATTTTTTGGCCCCTATTTTTWGCGTGCTCTGAGCGTATGCCGGCCCACCCTCCCAGGAACAGCCCTATGTACGCGTGTGTGTGTGTGTGTGTATACACACTATACTATACATATTATGTGAGCAAATGGGCTGCATTCTGAATGAGAGAAAGTTTAGATGCATTGTCTTATGTACTAGTGTCGTTATATTGTACATACATATGATGCACATGTCTACTTAAGTGATACATCATGAAATCAATCTGGACCCCACAAAATAAATGATGTCTAATTGAAAAACGAAAATAGAAGAGATTAATATTCGTTTAATCAAACTTGTTCATTTTCCACCCGAGTTTTATCAAAGATTAAATTATTTCTTGAATCAAATACAGATAACATGTTAACTAGTATCAAATAATTATCATACTATTTTCATAGCAAGATCATATAATAAACAGACAGAACGATTAATGTAGACGTGATCATCGCAATTCTCGATTATCACAACATTTTCATATGACTATCACAGCATTTTCACATCATAAAAATTCTTCAATTTATCAAATCATTATCACGACAAAATTAGATTATTWTCACATTATTAACAACAACGGACGCATTAATGCAAAAATTCTTTGATAATGATAATAAAATTTAAGGGATAAGGATAAATCAAAGATAACAKAAAACTATAGATAATATTTAATTTATTTTYATTTATTCTAATTTTTATTATGTRTTAATTAATTTGAAGACCCATAAATGTTCTTACATTTTTATAAAATAAAGATATTCTCGTTTGTGTATATATATACTTTGTCCTAATTTTTATATTAAAAAAATGAAAGATCCAAAAATGTGATGAGAATGAGATGGTCCGTCCCTGACCCTAAGTGGTCCTGTTTTCGTGGACCATTTGAAATGGGCCAATTGACTTGCCGAAAGTTAATGGACCTTTCAATCTTGGGCCATGATGCATGCTTTCTTGTGGTCCATAAAGCCCCTTCTATACTATTACCTAGAGTCCTTGCATAGCCCTTTTTGTTTGTTATTGTTTTTGTTTTTTATAGTAGCAGTGCCAGTCGGTGTTATACTTTCTTTTATCCTTTCTACTCTATTATGTTTGCTTCTGCTTCTGCTTC